TTCTTGTGAAGTAAATATTTTCATATTCATATGCAATAAGAAAACTAGGTTATAAAAGTTATGCAAATAGTTATACCTTCGTTTTCTTGGGAAACTAGCACGTTCCTTTTGTAGAATTATCCTGTACTTGTCAGTCAAAAATTGATTTCATTTGTCTTTCACTGGGTCTAATCGAAGACCCTAGCGAAGTTTATCTACACACAGCGAACTCGCGTTTGGGAGAAACGAAGCGTCTGTGTGGGCGTATTTACTTCACACTATTTCGTTTTGAAAGGAGTTTTATGGTTATGGTTATGAAAACTTCGTTAGTACTCTCAAATTCGCTATTTCTCAAAAATTTCTTTCGTGTTTACATAAACGTAACTAATAACTGAGGTTGCTCAAATCAAGGCGTTATTAACGATAAAAAAACTGTAGATTTAATGTATGAAGCCATGAGAATTGCTTCTTTTCTTTCGCGTGAAGTTTTATAATAAAGTTATGGTGCGATTCCTTCCAGGCCTGAATTTAGTAATGATTGATGTGATATAGTAACGCTGAAACTGAACTAAAAACGTTCGAGAGGAAGCACCGCAGCCTCGTCCTCAGGCCTGTTCGCGCTATTCGAGTGAGCGGGGAAGGTGGGGGGGGGGGGGGGGGGGTGCTTGGGGCCGAGGGCGAATTCTTCCTACAATCATTACAGGTGACGTCACATTCAAAATCGCCGAGGACCCCAGGGAACGAGGCTGGAAGTAGCGATCTACTGAAGATCTATGCCTGGTCTAATTTCTTATCCAGATCGCATGTTCACGGAGCCGAGCTTCGTCTTGGTAGAAGATCGTGCGTGGTCCTCGTAAAAGGGGTAAGAAAAACGTACTTGTTTCGAAACATTGCCTTAAAACGAATTGAAAAGCAATGCAGCGCGTCCTGCTACAAAGTTGCGTGGATACTGACTTCTGATTGGATAAAACTACGCGCAAATCACGCCATACACGGAAGTTACGTCACTTGCTGCGTAACAGAAGTTGTTGCAAAAAGTAGAACTCGACTTTCTGCGACAACTTCACGCAACCTGCAAAAACTTGATTTGTTACAAGACAGGTTTGAACTTGGGTGGTAATATGCGCAACTTTGCCTTTCAACTCGTTTTGAAGCAATGTTGCCAAACATATGAACGCTGAACACAAATTGAACACAAATAGCGTAACATGATTTATCTACTGTTCTTTTTGTGCTTATGCTTATGTAGATGTTACTGCTGTGAGAACATGCACAAAACGTGCACAAGCACCAAAAAAGTTACACTCTTGTCTCTGAAACCCTCCTTTCAGGGGTTTCATTTTTAAGGGTAGCAAGATTTTCTTTTCGATGTGAGCCGCTAGAAAACACGTTAGGCCAAGTTCAAAAAAATAACAATAACAACAACAAAACAAACAAAAAAATGTTTCTCGTTCCCACCCACTTCATTTTTGGGGGGTCACCTCTCTTTTTTATTAATTTGTTGTTGAAAAAGTTGGAACGAACAAAAACCAACCGTGCACTGTTTGTCACGAAAGTGGATGCAAGGGAAAGGAGAAAAACACGAGCGCTTTCAGGCAAGGTACGCATTTATTAAATACTGAGTCCTATTGACGATTTTAATGCACCTTACCTGTTGAGATACAGTCAAACCTCGTTAAACGTTAATACGGACACTGTGGGGGCTGAGAAAATGTAAGGGCTTACTTTCCCCAGGTACAAAGGAAACTGTGTGTCCTTAAGGATGAGGTGTCCGTACGGGTGTCCGCAAAGCGGGGTTTGACCGAGCCTCCCACTCAGGCGCTACTTTTTTCACATGGTTGCGCACATTGTTTCGTATAGAGGCGAGCGCGAAACGTGACTGACTGGTGAGCTGAAGCGCTGGGCCCGTTTTCTCCCTTCCGCCTTCCTTTTGGGCGCAAATTTAAATCGAGCGAGAGACGTCTACCACGTCTGGGTACGAGGAAGGGGTTTGACCGATATTGAACATTTTCACCGAGACCATGTCGCATTCTTTTTTTACACTTTTTAAGGGCTATAGATGTAATGCGCTAAATGAAATAACTATGAATAAAAGTTTCTTATAGGAGCATGAGAAAATAAATTTCAAATTCTACAGGAATTGCGACGAAAACACAAGTGAAATCGTCATGCGCGAGATTTCATTTTGTGAAGGCTTTGAAGCTTTTCTTCTCTCGGGCTCCCATAACTTGACCCATAAGAACCTTTTCTTTGGAGTTATCTCATTTAGCTCATTACATCTTTAGTCCTTGAAAAATGTAAAAAGAATGCAATGTGGTCTCGGTAAAAATGTTCAATATCGGTCAAACCCCGCTTTGCGGAAAGAAATTAAAATTACTCAATTTCCTAATGGATTCCGTCTTAAAACAAAGCATGATTAAACGTGACGTTTTGCCAGCTTTAGTTGCATTCGCGTTCGAGGTACGAGAATAGTATTTTCCTGCGTTTGACTTGGTAATTAGCAGGAAAATATGCTCTCATCGGTATCTTATGTTTGTTTAGGCGTGTGCGCTGGTATGTGGGTAATTAGTAAGGGTATATATTTGGGCGTGCTGGATTGTCTTTCATCTCGGTCTTGCTGTTCCAGCGTTCGGGTCATTCACTATGAACAAGGAGGAACTTGTCGAGCTTTTAGCGAAATCTTAAGACGCAATCTTAGAACGTGTTGTCTCGAAATTACAAGAGCTCAAGAGATCTATTTCTGAAGATCAAGAGGAGTGCTTAAGTTCTGTCGTTAAAAGAGTCAAAGAAGATAATTCCATTAAGTGGAAAAAAGTGGGAATCGAGAAACAGTTCAAGTTTAACCAGTCAGTGGAAGCCAGATTTGATTCAGCTATCTCCGCCATTGAGAAAAAGAAGCTGGATAAGGCGAAAAAAGAGGTGGAAGAGGTTCACGCCTCGGCGCTGACGACGCTGTCAAGTCCTTTCGACTGCAGCCCTTTCAGTTTCGACAAGCCTTATTCTGCCCAGATCTCAGTTCAGGAGAGGCACCTGCTTCGCTTGTGGATCGGGAGGTCACTGGAGAAACAACTGCCCCAATCTCATTTCTTCAGGAAGATCAGATAAGTCAACCAAGTG